AAAATAGCCCCACACCAACACGACAGCATAACAAGGGTCCCTACATTCAAACCGAAGCATTGAGAACTTTGTCAGTGTCCATACAGTTTAATAAGAAGATATTTTATACACACAGTCAACTTCGCGAATACAGGAAGAAGCCATCTTTGAAAAATAGTCTCTACCAGTCGATCTACGAGCGCCGATCCAAGTGCGCTGAACTGTGCAGAATCTCATATGGTCCGTTGTTTCCAGAAGAAACACAAACACAAACAGTTTACTTCTCTTCAATATGTACACGTAGCCTACTGTTCGCGCTCACCTTACCGTATTCACATCTCACCAGCGCACTTGGATCGGCGTTCGTAGATCGACTGGTAGAGACTATTTTTCCAAGATGGCTTCTTCCTGTATTCGCGAAATTTACTGTGTGTATAAAATATCTTATTATTAAACTGTATGGACACTGACAAAGTTCTCAATGCTTCAGTTTGAATGTAGGGACCCTTATTATGCTACCGTGTTAGTGTGGGGCTATTTTGAGCCTTGTTAGTGGTAATAACAAGCGATTTTTATTTGTCATTACTCTTTTCCCTATATACTAGCATTATACTAGCGTTATAGGCTAAAGTGTTTTTAGAGATAAAACTATTTATATTCAGCAATCATGAAAACAAATCTCAGATAACGGTTGACTAGGTAACTATGTGTAATTAGACTAAAGGTTCATTTTGCGCCGGAGTTGTCCTTTAACTGAGGAAGCTTATTGGGTCACTTCATTTAAGATTTTTAAGTTTGGCTCCTGGTGGCTCTATGGGTAGCACTGTCGCTTTACAGCAAGAGGGTCCCCAGTTCAATCCCTGGACTGTGTCAGTATGGGTTTCATCCTTGTGCTCCCCCACACTGTCCAAAGACATGTAGGTTATGGATTGGACATGCCAAACTGGCCGTTTGTGTGTGTGAGTGTGACTCTCAGTGCTGGAAGGGCATCCGTCATATAACCTGTGCCAAATCCAACACGTGTGTAGATAATTCAGATAAAGCGGCCTTGCAAATGAGCGGGACTAACGCTAGACTTTAATTTTTTTTCCGTTTTTAATGTGAAATTTGTTGTTTCTGTGCCACTGGCTCCACCAAATGGAATTGCAAGAATATGACTGTTTTCAAACAGGTTTCCCGATCCCTCCTCCCCATCTGCCATTGGTCGCCAAATAGATAGCCTATATCCCAAACTTATGGCATTGATTGAAGATTAAGAAGTGGTATATAGTCATTTTTAACACCATTAGCTAAACACATGTAAAACTTCTTTTTGTTTTGTTTTTTCAGAAATGTAAGAATGTGATATGCAATGAGCCCATTTCCTTTTATGTAAGGCGTTTGCCTAATAAAATAAACAATCATAGCATTATATATAGTTTTGTTACATTCCAGAAATTTTGAAAGTGGTTAATCCAATGTTGCTCCTTCAGACTGAGCTGTACTGGACACATAGCCTTTTTAATTTGGTCTTGGAATAATTTTATTAAAAATGAATTACATTTTTAGTAATGAAATCTCTATGTTTGATTGTGTTGAGACATGAGATCTGTATAAAGGAGACGTGTTTGCAGGGATTTTTTTGCAAAATCCAAGAAACTCAATACTTCAGCAGACATCTCCATTTGCTCTCCATTTAATTTCACTGCTGTCGAATAATTTAAATATTTATAGAATCTGTAGATTTGATAAAATCAGTAATTAAGAAAACTTTTGGACAAAGTTCTATCCATTAACGTTAATGAATGTAAAAAAGGCTCAGTGATTGTTTAGACGTTGATCAATTGATCATTTTGTATTCATTCTTGCATAAATTCGCATCAGCACCACAAACAACCTTCACGTTGACGTGACTGCTGCTCAGAGAGAGTTATTTGAGGTTGATGTCACATGACAAAAGCGCTTTTAATGCATGGAGATGCAAGCTGCAGATTACGGTGCCAGGGCTTTGTTTATGCGCTGTCATTGTCTGCTGAGTAGATTAATGATATAAAGGCCATTGTCTTTCCTGGGTGCGGTACTTCTTTACAGCTCCCAAACAAGTTGCCGTTTGCCAAGGAGATAGAAATCACAATTTAATATTCCTCCAAAGTGGTCCCGGCAGAGATGCAGCTCTTTGTTCTTGGTAATGATCCAGCGTGGAGATGAATAGAAAGGCTGAGCTAACACTAATGGGACTGTTAACAGGTCGCTCGCCCCTCCTCTGGCTGTTGCTACAGCAACAAGAAGTGCCGTTCTAATACTGATGATGGTTTTCTGTAGCGTGGCTGGTCAGGTTAGACCAGTGATGGAGGATGGACTTCAATAGAAGTGCAGTGGTCAAGTTTGTCAAGCCAGTGTAGTTGTTCAAAGAAATTGTTATTGATTGTTGATTTTTTTTTTCTCTTGGTGAAATTCGCATTTGACTGAATGTATTGATTATGTTTCATTAACTGGCAGGTTTCAGTAAGGTTGTGTAAAATTGAGTGTATTTGTTATACAGTGTATCATCAGGCCCATCTATCACATTATTTATTATAGCCAAATAACATTGCATAATGTCATTTAAGGGTAAATGTTTTTTGTTTGTTTTTTTGTTTTGTTTTTTTTAATCAAAATAAGTTCTGTTTGTATATGACAGACTCAGCGAATGTGTGAGTCTGGTGTAGTTTAGGGTAATACGACATTGGTGACGCTTTACAATAATAGTTATGTATTAACTAATCTATTAACTAACCATGAGCAATACATTTGTTACTGTATTTGTTAAACTTTGTTAATGTTAGTTAATAAGAATAAAGCTGTTTGTTCATGCTAGTTCAATATGCTTTAACTAATGTGAACAAGATTTTAATAAAGTATTCGCAAATCAACATTTATGAAAGATGAATAAATGCTGTATAAGTGCAGTTCATTATTAGTTCAGTTTATTAAAGTGTTACCGACATTTCTTTTAATTTGATTCCTACTTCCTAAGAATAAACAGCCCATTCTCACCCCCAAGGCGTCACCTAACTGACGCCTTGGGAAGCATTTGTCAGTTATATGACGCCCTAGGATCGCGTGTACCCTACCCCCACCCCACACCTAAACCTAACCGCGTCCTCTAACAGACGCTTTCCTTTAGCGTCAGTTAGATGACGCCGTAGGATCGCGTCATGTAAGTGACGCTAAAGGGCGCCTAAAACGTCAAATATTGAAGCATGGTCAAAGGTGACGCCTTGGGGTGAGAATGCGTTGGAATAAACGGTAATTTCAACAAGACGAATTCTGAAAAATGAAAAATGTAATTTTTAAATGTTTATTGCACACACTTTATGTCTGTATTTTGGTATTTGCCAAGGGAAATAACATGATAGATAGATAGATAGATAGATAGATAGATAGATAGATAGATAGATAGATAGATAGATAGATAGATAGATAGATAGATAGATAGATAGATAGATAGATAGATAGATAGATAGATAGATAGATAGATAGATCATAACATCATTTTATATCCTAACTGTCTGTGTTGGTTGAAACTTCAATCCTCATTCTTTTATTGTAACGTATAAAGGGTCTGATATTTCTAGACATTTTTACAACTAACAAAATCACCAGGGTCTTTAAAACGAACCTGGGGACCTTAGAGCATCAATCTCTGCTATTGGATGACCTTGACAGTGGCGGACACGTGACCCGTCCCAATAAAAACCTGCAGTACGTGATGAAGACTGTCATGAGGAATCCCTCCAGAGGGATACTTTACAATAAAAGTCTGTCCAGACATTGACTGAGCTTGTCTGAGAATGAAAGACAGAAAAAAACTGAGAGTTTTGAAGAACTATACGCACTCTTCATCATTGCTTTTACTGCCAAGGATTTGACCTTTAAGTGAAAGTCCGTCAAGGCCATGAAGATGAATCTACACCGCTTCACTGAGCTCATTGAGTTATGAGTCAGGACACAAATTAAACAAAATCCAGGACCCACGTGTGCTTGAAATAAACATAAATTCTGAAAATACTTTGTGTTATTGAAGTAAAATGGGTCGTTGATGTTTCAAATGATGTTTTTTATATACCGTGTCCTGGGAAACACTCAAAATCCTCATATGTTCTTATCTTCCCCTGCACTGTCTTGCTAGAAAAGGGCTTTGTGACTTTATGTCCTGGTTTTAGAGTGGCAGACAATCAGCCTCTCTCTGATTCGCCCATCTCAGCATAGAGGATCACCCATAAGCCTGGCCGACTGCCCCTCGGCTCAGTGGGGATGAATGGGAAATGTGGAATAAAGGCTTTTCTTTCCTCACCCTCACCATCCTGGAATATGCTGATGTCAGCATGTTTCCTGCCAGGATCATCGCTATTAATCTCATGTGCTCAAACAGAATATATAGAATGTTATTAGAAATGTTTTTTTTTAATTTGTTTTTGTTTTTTTTCTGAGACAGATGGAATATAAGAGGGGATCAGATTTTTCTAGTATATCAGTCAGCTGGTGTATTTATTCTAATAAAGGAAACATTATTATTGTTGCTTGCAGATGCTGATTTAATGTGCATTTCTTTTTTGAAGTTTACTATTACGTTTACCATGATGGTACATAATACATTGGGGACCATATTGATAATTATATAATAAGCTTCCAATTATTGTTTTCTCTCTGATTTAGGCAATATTAGAAGCAGATAATATTAAAAACTAGTTTTATTAATATCAGAACTCATTTTAATACATTTTTTATTTCCTTTTTGATTGAAATGTTCTGTGTAAAATTCAAGTGCAATATTCTAGAGATTGCACTACAATTTTGGGATTTTGCATTTCAAGTCCTAAATCATGGGGAGTGTGTATATCTCTGCTGGAAGGTCACAAAACTCTCTTTCTAGAGTTTGAACCTACATCTAGTTGGTAGCTAACATCCCTAAACACTAAACCACAAAATGGTCAATTGAAAGCTCACATTGTTGCCATTTATTTTGCCAATGCTATAAATAATCTTGTTTGGTCCCCCAGATTGTACTTCTCCGACCCTCATCCGTCCCGTGCGGTGGAGCTGCTGCGTGTGGGGAAGCTGCAGCACTACCTGGGCCGACTGAAGGAGGCTCACGGGAGCTTCACACAGGTCTGTTATCAGATGATCTTTGGCCCTATAACACACTCCAGAGAGATCAGGTCTGTAATGAGGCCCTGGATGGTGATCGACTGTATTCTGCCCTGCACTCGAGCTCACATTTGTCAGATTGTTGTCTAAACGGTGGTATGGATGTCAGGATGTGGAACTCAGTCAGAGACGGCCTGACTATACGCAAATGGAAAAATAAGGACCAAAAAAAAAGTTTTATCTTGAAACTTAGAGATTGTTGGCAACGAATAATAGCCCTTATAAATTAGTTTTATCAAATGGCTGACAGGAATTTTTAATAATGACAGAAAGTTATTAATAATATAATATGAATGAATAACGTGTGTGTGTGTATTGACAGACAGATACAGATCGATAGATGGATGAATGGGTGGATGGATGGATGGATGGATGGATGGATGGGTGGACGGGCGGATGGGTGGATGGATGGGCGGATGGGTGGGTGGCTGGATGGGTGAATGGATGGGCGGATGGGTGGACGGGTGGATGGATGGATGGATGGATGGCTGGCTGGGTGGGTGGGTGGGTAGATGGATGTGTGGACGGGCGGATGGATGGCTGGGTGGGTGGGTGGGTAGATGGATGGGTGGACGGGCGGATGGGTGGATGGATGGGCGGATGGGTGGATGGATGGGCGGATGGGTGGGTGGCTGGATGGGTGAATGGATGGGTGGACGGGTGGATGGATGGATGGATGGATGGATGGATGGATGGCTGGCTGGGTAGATGGATGTGTGGACGGGCGGATGGATGGCTGGGTGGGTGGGTGGGTAGATTAATGGGTGGACGGACGGGCGGATGGATGGGTGGGTGGATGGGTGGATGGATGGGTGGGTGGTAGGATTGACAAGCGGACGGATGGGTGGGTGTATGGTTGGATGGGTGGATGGCTGGCTGGCTGGCTGGGTGGGTGGTGGGTAGATGGATGTGTGGACGGGCGGATGGATGGCTGGGTGGGTGGGTGGGTAGATGGATGGGTGGACGGATGGGCGGATGGATGGGCGGGTGGACGGGCGGATGGGTGGGTGGGTGGGTGTTTGGGTGGATGGATGGGTGGGTGGTAGGATGGACAAGCGGACGGATGGGTGGGTGTATGGATGGATGGGTGGATGGATGGGTGGAAGGGCGGATGGATGGATGGATGGATGGGTGGAAGGATGGGTGGATAGACAGACAGACAGACAGACAGACAGACAGTTTTCCCGACAGACATTTCCCGACAGACATTTCCCGTTTCAATCATGTAATTGAATTTTCTTCCTTCACATGACAATGGTTTAACTCAACCGTCTCTCTTCTTCCCCCCCCCCCCCCCACCTCTCACCTCAGGCCTATGACATCATGAAGGTGACCCACGGGACAGAGCATGCCCTGACTAATGAAGTGAGTAGAAAACTGGGCGAGTGCCAGGCCGAGCTGGGTGAAGTCTAGACTGAACTCCTGCATCATCATATGGAGACTGACTCTGACGCGCTGGCTGTCAATCAACCCGCCGCTGGATTCGCTCTCAAATGGAAAGTTTCAGGATGCTCATGTCTGCCACCTGTTTTTGTGCCCCTGTGTATCAAACCAGCTGGCTTAGAATTCAACGGGGGGGGGAAGAATATTTCTTTTCTGCTTCTTCTACTCTGCTTGCCAAAGGGGAAAAAGCGTCATTACTGACATGCTTTTTCATTCCTTTCCCATATTATTTTGATTTGTTCCACCGCTGTCCCCCCCCCAGTATCTGTTTACTTTTAACACACAATCCAAAGTATAGTCTACTACCCTCCATATTTTCAATAGAAAATCCCACTTCTAGGTATTTAGACCCCAAATGAATGGTTGCAACAGGAACAATATTGCTAAATCTAAATAATAAATTTAAAGAAAGTGTCAACTTTCAAATGTGCAGATAGATAGATAAATGTGCAGTATATGCATCTATTGCAAAATCTGAACAATTTGGTTCACTCCATTTTTGATTTGTTCAGTAGCAACATGTTTTTAGTTTCTCAAAAATATAAGTTAGATATCATATTAGTATATAAATGCATCTGATTGAGTGTTCAGTGAATTGTCACATTATGTTCCATGTTGTTCTGGTCACTTTGCATAAAATTTGAATAAAATGATTAAAATAAGTGTGATTTTAGTATTATTTATATACTATTATAGTATTTTTTATTATTTTGAATTAGCTTTTATTTTCACACTTTGAATTTTTTATCTTAGTTTTTTGTTATGTGCTTTCAATTAGGTTGTTTTTAGTGCTGAGCAACAATTTAATCACAACACCTTTTCAGGAATAACTGTTGTGCTTCAAGAACCACTCCGAACTACACACACACACACACACACACTCACACATTTGTGCTTCAGTTTCTCATCATTAACTTGTCGCTCTGACAAAACAGTCCCATTTGCTCAGATTTCATAAACATATTTCAGCACTGATTTGTGTTTTTAAGCTCTTTTTTTACCATCTGGAATGTGCTGTTATTACAGTTCAATCCTCGATTTATAATGTGGGTCATTCCTACTATTCAGTAAATGTCCATGTCTCCATCATATGACTTGATATAATTTATGAAATATGATATCAATCATATCAGTTTTCACAATCATCACATCACAGTTAAGGGATCATTTGAATAATTTCAGTACTTTGGTTTGAATAGATGTTTCCATTTATATGCTGACAAGAAAAACTGGCATATTATTAAAAAAATATTCCAGGTGATTCACTAATCAAAATGATTTTCTTAAGTGTTTTGAAAGTATGCCCTCAAGTCGAACACAACTGTATATCATCCTCAGGAAGTGATGTCATTTTGGTGGTAAAAAAAACTATTAATAAAACACAATTAAGTTGGCTTAGTTTGTTTTTGCTTGTGCTTGTCAGTAGCCGGTTTCTCCGGACATTTTTTCAGCACGTTATTTTTGCTAAATCTTTTTAACCCTCATGAGTGTCTGGATACATATAGATGGGGATTACACGTTCTCATACCACCGTCCACTAAAGCAAACAGCTTTTGGAGGTGCGCTTCTCTGAGATGGAGATAACATCTTTCTGTTGGATAGAATGGGGCTTAAGAGCAAATAGAGGAAGTTGGTATAGAGCGGCCAGTTGTCAGCAGTCCTATCTCTAAAGCCAATGACATCATTTCTCACAAAATGTGAACGAGTCCAACCATGAAGTGCGATTTCACCAAAAATCTTTCTTACTTTTACTTAAGTAAGGTTTTACAATCATATACTTTAGTGGCCAACAGTGATGTCTGGCCTAGGAAAATTGACATCACCCATTATTAAAAAAATATTTTTAAAAATGTCATATTTCATGCAGACATAATTTGTATGCGTTTTTCCTGTGAACATTTTAGTTCCCTTTCAAGGGAACTCAAGCTGCGTTTGGAACGCGGTGGGAACGCTCTGCGTGATTGCGTCGTGAAGCACGTGTATAATCTGTCCAATGGAAGAACAAGACGTCATGGGCGATGACGTCATGACCAGGAAACTATAAAGCACCCCAGAAAATAGACCGCATCAGCTTCTGTGCCTTCACAAGCGCTCTCTGTATGAAATTGTCCGTGTCTGATTTATTGTTGTCTGTCTGTTCACAATATATCGTGTAATGGCTAAACAAGAATACAAGCGTTGTGTTGTTCCCTGCCCTCGTTTCATCACGGGTGGGGACACACATCAGCTCTGTGTTGCTTGTTTGGGAGTGGAGCATGCCCAGTCAGTTCTCGAGGGAGCTGACTGTGAGCATTGCGATAAGCTGTCTGTGAAGACGCTCCGCTCTCGCCGGGCGTTCTTTGAGGAGGACGGTTCGGTGCGCGCTCCCCGAGGCGCGGGTCCCGCTGCTGCCGAGGCACAGCGTCGGCGCTCGTCTTGGGGATCGCAAATGGATCTAACAGCGGGGTTTGAGACGGGCTCTGCCCTTTCTCAGCCCTTACCTGTTGGATCTAGTGCCTTATCTCAGGGAGAAGCACGCGCTGCGGTTTCTTCTCCCCGGGATGAGGCACAAAGTCTGCGACTATTCAGTTCTGAGGAATTGGATGTCGTCAGTATTGATGCAAGTGAACATGAACACACGAAACCATATCACAAGTCACTTGTAGATGAGGAGCTCATGGAGGTTTTAACTCGTGCTGTTTCTAGACTAAATATTGAGTGGCCAGAAACAGGAGAACAGGATGTTTGCAGAAATAAAAAGAGTTTGTTAGACGAGAGATTTTTGCCATCCAGAGTGCAGCCTCCACGCCGGGGACTCCCGTTTTTTCCCGATCTCCACACTGAGGTGTCGAGGTCGTGGAAAAAGCCGGTGTCTTTCCGTGTCTTTAATCCCCAGACACATAATTATAGTAACGTTATGGGGATGAAGGACGCGGGTTATATGACGATGCCTCAGGCTGAAGAGACGCTCGCGAGCTATCTCTCTCCTGAGTCAGCGTCATCTCTCAAAGCCCCGGCATTACCCACCAAGCCATTAAAATCAACTTCAGCGCTGGTGGGTAAAGCGTATTCGGCGGCGGGTCAGGCTGCGGCATGCTTGCATACCATGTCTATTTTGCAAGCGTACCAAGCCGACCTGCTTAGGGATTTGGATGATTGTGAGGAAGTCAGCGCTGACGTGATTCGCGAATTACGTCGCGCGACGGATCTATCTCTCCGTGCCACCAAAGAGACGGCTAAATCTGTGGGTCGATCTATGTCAGCTTTGGTGGCTACTGAGCGCCATCTGTGGCTTAATTTAGCTGATTTAAAAGATAAAGATAGATCTGTCCTTCTGGATGCTCCACTTTCACCTTCTGGTTTATTTGGTGATTCTATAAACACAGTTTTTGAAAGATTTCAAGAATCTAAGAAACAAAATGCAGCATTCCAGAAGTTTCTTCCTCGCCGATCTAATATCCCTGAGACTGCTGGGCGTTCTGATCAGTCTCGGCCGACTACGAGCTCCTCGCAGTACAGAGTACAGCAGAAAGAAAGCGTCGCTTCTCGGGCTCCTCCTCAGGCAAAGGGGAGGGGGGGCCGGGCTGGCGTTCGCAGTCGAAGCCTATTAGAGACAGGCCAGATCTGAGGACTGTCATTGTCTCTAAGAAAGCTTCGGCTAAGAAGAAGTCCTGACGCCAAGGCTGTCAGGCTTCTGAGGGTGGTCCCCTCCGGGGAGAAACGGTTTCGAGGAATCGTTTCTCCTCTGCGCCCTCCTGGGGGCGACTCTCTGAGGGGAGTCGCAGCGCCGTCAGTTCGGTTGTTCCCTGCCGGTTATCCGTTTCAGGGCACCGAGGTGTCGGCGTCCCCAGACGATCCTCCGAGGAGGGTCGTAGAACAGTCAAGTCGGTTGTTCCCTGCCGGTTATCTGCTTCAGGGCACCGAAGTGGCTCTTCAATTAAATCCAGAGGCCAGTCTCGAGAGACTGGTACCCTTAGTAGATTTTTTGGCAGCGTGGAAACTTCTGCCAAATGTATCTCATTGGGTCCTGCAGATTATACAATCGGGTTACAGAATTCAGTTCGGTTCTCGTCCGCCCAGGTTTATAGGGGTTCTTCCCACCGTGGTGAACTCCGAGCAGGCTCTGGTCATGGAGCAGGAAGTACTGACACTTCTGCAAAAAGGAGCTATAGAGAGGGTTCCTCCTCCCAGCAGAGAGTCAGGGTTTTACAGCCGCTACTTTATTGTTCCAAAAAAGGATGGGGGGTTACGTCCTATTCTAGACCTGCGTCTTTTAAACCACACAGTTCAGAAACTCAAGTTCAAGATGCTTACACTCAAACAGATAGTGTCACAGATTCAGTCCGAGGACTGGTTTGTGACGATAGACTTGAAGGACGCTTATTTTCATATTTCCATCCATCCTCATCACAGGAAGTTCCTGAGGTTCGCTTTCGGCGGCGAAGCGTACCAATATCGGGTTCTTCCGTTCGGCCTAGGGTTATCACCCCGCACTTTCACGAAATGCATGGATGCAGCCCTGGCTCCTCTCAGATTCCAGGGTATCCGTGTGTTAAATTACATCGACGATTGGCTGATTTTAGCTCACTCTGAGCAGATGGCAGTTCGGCATCGAGATGCCGTTCTGTCCCATTTGAAACGGCTAGGGCTGAGGCTCAACGCCAAGAAGAGTGTTCTCCTCCCATCTCAGAGGACGAACTTTCTGGGTGTGGTATGGGATTCCACAACGATGCGGGCACAGTTGTCTCCAGCACGTATTTCATCGATTCTCTCAGCCGTAAAAGGGGTGAAACTAGGCCGGTCACTCACTGTGAAACAGTTTCAAAGACTGTTGGGTCTCATGGCAGCTGCGTCCAACGTTATCACTTTTGGCCTTCTGTACATGAGACCCCTGCAGTGGTGGCTCAGGACCAAGGGGTTTTCCCCGAGGGGAAATCCATTTCGCTTGATCAAGGTCACGCGGCGCTGCCTTCGTGCCTTGGTCATGTGGAGCAAAGCTTGGTTCCTCGCCCAGGGCCCAGTGTTGGGGGCTTATTGTCGACGCTTTTTCCTTTCGACGGATGCTTCCCTCACAGGGTGGGGGGCGATCATGAGTGGTCGCTCGGCGAGAGGTCTTTGGCAGGACCATCAGGTTTCCTGGCACATAAATCGTTTGGAAATGATGGCGGTGTTTCTAGCTCTCAAGCACTTCCTGCCAGACCTGAGAGGCCACCATGTGCTTGTCCGCACGGACAATACATCGGTGGTCTCGTACATAAACCATCAGGGGGGTCTGAGGTCACGTCACCTCTGCAAGTTGGCTCATCAGATCCTTCTGTGGGCCCAAGGGAAATTACTGTCTCTCAGGGCAGTTTTTATTCCAGGGCATCTGAATCAGGGAGCAGATATCCTGTCAAGGCAGGGGCTGAGGCCCGGGGAGTGGAGACTTCACCCCGAGGTGGTGGAACTCCTGTGGGAGAAATTTGGTCGTGCTCAGGTAGACCTTTTCGCATCTTTAGATTCAACTCATTGTCAAATGTGGTTTTCCCTCACGCACCCAGCTCCTCTCGGACTGGATGCGATGGGTCAGGTTTGGCCGAGGCTGCGCCTGTACGCTTTCCCCCCGATATCTCTGATTCCGGGAGTTCTGGAGAGGGTTCGCCAGGAAGGGGTCAGTCTTTTGTTAGTAGCCCCGTACTGGCCG